GACCACATGATAAATAGCTAGCTACTCCAGAACCCTCCATCTAACTTCATAAAATCCAGGCAGGAATCAGCCACCTTAACATCATACCTTAATGAGTTTGTCTGCTGTGGCAGAAACACTGAGACCATCAACGGCTGACGTTAAATCCTTCTCAAACTCTATACCATCTTCGTCTGGGATCAGATGAAGAAAGACAGTTTAATCCTGGTGACTTTCATGCTGGTGCAGACATGCTAACCCAAAAGAAACTAAGCCTTACCTTTCTTGTCGTCGACCTCTTCATCATCAAACTCCACCATGGAGAAAGATTCCTTGATTTGGTTCAGCTCCTCTCTGAGCTGGATCAGCTCGTCTCCAGACAGAGTCGTCAGCACAGACTTCACCTGCATGAAACACACAGAACTAAGAATAAAAACCGAGAGCAGCTTCTCCTATAACCCTTCGTAATTTGATGAGTAGAAACATTAGCTTCTCTAAGATTGTTGCCGGTGTTGGCTATGACCACACTGGTCATAGAAAATAAAATGTTTGGTGTAACACCTAAACATTTGTGCAAAGTTTGAAAACATCTAGCTTCCCTTAAGTTGAATTTCCAGAGAATTTCTAAATTGCTAAATTTATTTGGTTGTTTTGTAAACTTTCATTTGAGTAAAGTTCAACATCTGTGCTGAAGTTTTAGTAATCGACAAAAGAATTCTTAAAACTGAGATCCAGTAAGAGGAGTGCTTAATGAGCAACTATCACAGGATGATTGCCTTTTAAAACTTTTAGTAATGATAAAATGTCAGGACTTGATCAAATTAGACATAAAAGTGAAATATCTCTCATAATATCTTTAATTTCAATACAAACTTGTTTTTAAAGCAATTAGGGAAGCTGTACCTTAGATTCGCTCTCTCTGGACAGGATCTCCAGGGCTTCGAGGTGTGACAAACCCTGGAATTCATCAAACAGCATCCCGTAGTGTGCCACCACCTTCTTCTCTGTATCTGATGACTCTTTCTTCGCTGTCTGCAGCTCCTCTCGCTCTTTAGCCTCCCGCAAAACCTGACAAAGAAGCAGAAGAAGAAATAAATTGGGATTTTTACTTTACATTCCCCTATCAACTCATTGAGACTTTGCCCACCTGAGACAGAGAGGCGTTCCTGTTCATCAGTCCTTTGGTCTTCTTAAAGCCAGGATCTCCTTCAGCTATCACATCCATCGTCTTCTTCCCAATGAACTCCAGAGCGTCCAGACCTCCTGTGATCACAGTCTTCCCCTATGAAGAGGTTTACTTTATTTGAGATCATTCACTGCATGTGTGACCATCACCACATGCAGTAAAACATTTCCTCACTGTGGTCTGAACAACACTGGTCAGAGACGAGAACATTCCCATCGCGCTTCCTACTGGTGAGGATCCATCAGTTGCAGATTTTTCTTTCTCACTGCTGCCTTCGCCTGCAGGAGAACAATCCAAATTGTGATGAAAAAAGTAAAATGTTTTGATTTATTCTATCTTCTCTTCAATTGATTAGTATGTCTCACCCTGATGTTTTTCCTCTTCCTCCACCTTAGCTGACAGTTCAGTTGGACTGGGAATTCCTAGAGATGTTTCTGCCTTTTCTATGACTTGAGTGAGCCCCTGGCCTGGACAAGCAGAAAATAACAAGTGGTGAAGAATAAACACAAACAGCGTATGGCCATAGGAACGGACATGTCTCCATTCCTAATCACAGAAAAATAAACTATAATCTTTCGGTTTGCAAACATTTCATTCATATCTGGGTCTTACTTGGTCATGAAATTTGGCAACTATACCGCAGGTGAAAGACAATGTGTGTGTGTGTGTGTGTTTGTGTACATATATATTTTTATAAGACAAATTTAGTTGTTATCCTTTTTACTATTTGTGGCTTATTTTTTATATTTCTGCTATTTTTAGTCAGTATTATGTTTTTCTCTCATAAGTTTTCGACAAAATCATTGTCAAGTATTTTTTAGGCCTATACCTAGAATATATATTAATACCTTTAACATATTTTCTTCCCTTTCCTTTGATTGTTAATTAGCTTAGTGTTAGGATAATTGGGGACTCTTCCGGTTTCACAGATTGAAGACTAAACCAAACTAATACAACTAAATGAAGTTGGCAAGTTTTTCCAGACTTCTTTTCTTCTCCTCTTTGTAGTCTCACTTTCAATGTCCCATTTTAAGGAGGGTACAATGGTCTAGCCAAAATTGCAGGTCATCATGTTGACAATTATTTCTAGTAAACAGATATCACAGACATTTTCTTCAGCAACTGTTGCAATTTTCAAAACTGTTTGTAAATTTTGAAAGAGAAGACCCAAAGAAAAAAAAAAAAAAAAAAAATCCAGACTGGTCCTAAAAGAGACAGCGTGGTGTTCTGGAGACTCACCCACAGTGGTGACAGTAGCTGTTGCTGTGGACAGGATGGATTTACCCCAGCTGCCCCAGTATCCCCATCCACCTTGAGAGACAGTTGATTCACTTGGCATCTGTGAGCGAAAAGGGAGGAAAATAAAATATGGAACACAAAGAGTTTAAGTTGATACAACAATACATAATTCTTTGGCAACTCAAATAACCACAAAAATGTACAATTAGTTTAGTTCTGTTATGTGGTTAAAACTTGAACTTAGCTTCTGTGAAACATTTTGATTTTTATCAAACCTCTTAAAAGAAGCAATCAACTTCTTGGATGCTACTACGTGAAATGCCATTGCATTTATTGACTTCGTGTATTCAAACTGGCATCCCCAATTCACAGCTAGTATAATAGGCTATTTAATAATAAAGAAAACATCTGTACTATGTTTAATCACAATTAATAATAATTATATAAGGAAACAATTTGAGACTTCTTTCATTTGTGAATAAATAAAGGACAATTTAGTGGCTACCTTTGCTGGCTGCTGTTCCTCCTCTGGTTTTGGTGTTGGCTCAGTTTCCTCTGCAGGTTTGGTCTCAGGTCTCCTCCTGGCTTTCCTCGTTGGGGCAACATCAATAGAGTTGTCTGGTGTGGATGCTGAGGAGCTGCCTGGTGTTCCAGCTGGAGAGGGGCCTTTGATCCCAGGCGCTCCCTCTATTCCATCGCTTTCTGAATGAGGTGCGTCGCTGTCTGACATCTTTTCAGACATCTCAGCACAACATGTCTGCAGAAAATAACAGACAGCATTAAATTTGACAGATTTTTTTTTAATGTGCCATTTGGGGCTATGAACATTAACAGTCAGCCTAACAACAAAACTAAAGAAGCCTTTGACTGAAGGCTGTTGCTGTATGGCAGCCTCATTGACAGTTATGACATGCTAACAGCTCAATTTCTGAGCAGCAGATGACACAATGACTTATTGGGAATGGGAAGCATATTAATCCAAATAATTAGCTTTTGCGGCTCCTCTATAAATCTTTTTTTCTGGCCTTATGATTAGACAACCATAAGGCACAGACAGAGACGTTAGAGATATGAGGAGATTGTTCAGCTCTTATGTCCTGATCTGCAGGTATTATTTGAGTTTTCAAAATGCTAATTACATACTTCCACTAGTAAAAACCATACTATGTTGCCACAGTTACGCATCATACACATGCTTCTTTCATGTATGTGATCCAGCTGTGTTGAACACCGGCATTGTTTGATATTCATGCTTTAGGATATTATGGCCTTGAACCTCTAGTTTCCCCATAGACACTTACAATTAGCACACGGTGTTAATGTGTGTTTCAAATCTGTTATTCCTGTTGATGTTGTCAAAGATTTACCACGTCGAAAGTTTCTGCTAAAACAGTTTATTGAACTAAACATTAAAGCTATCCTCAACCAATTTAACAAGAGCCATGAAGACATATCAAGACATATCAAGTTTTTACAACAAATGAACCTCTTCTGATCTCAGTCTTGATGCTAGTAGCTAACGTTTACCTTCAATCTGCTTGTTGTTTCCTTCCCAAAAGTAATTAGAAGAATTTTCCGTTTTAGTTAGAGTTTTGGATTCCTAATCCAGGCCTTAAATTTATGTTAATTTTTCAAATTACAGAAATAATTCAGGTTTCTTCTTGTTGTCCAGAAAGATTAGCCACGTCACATTTTGTTTTCAAAGGTTAGGTCTGTCATCAGCTGGGGGACAAGAGACTTCCGTCTGATGCCTTCAAAATAAAAGCAGGCCTGAAAAACGAACAGCTTTCAAATATGTACAAATTGCAAAGTAATTTTTTTCCCCCCATGATTTTAGTTTATTATTTCTTCACATTGTTTCAGAAAAAATAAGTCCATATTATGAACAAAAGAAAAATAGATAATTGATGCTATCAGAAGCATGTATGTGCCCTTTGTGCCATCATGTGTTAAAAAAGCGAAGGCAGATGAGGTTTAGGTGTTAGTGGTGTTAGGTGTGGACAGGTGTGTCAAGTCAATACAGAACTGCCCTACACTTTGTGACAAGCCCATACTTGTGGAATAACATCATTAATCCTGTTATTATGCTCCTGCATGAACAGCACAGGGATCATTTCATCTTCACGGACAACGAAGCCCCAGCTCATTGAAGTTGGATCATTATATTGCAATATTGCTCTTCACTGTGTTTTATTTTACAAGATATTATGTTATGTTGTGTCCTGTTTGGAAAACCTGATGCATAAAAGGATACGGAATTAAATTGTTGAATATTTCAAAATAAAATCATTAAACGAGTTTACGGAGCGGAAAAAGACATTATTGTTTTTATTTTATTTTTTATTTTTTTTTTTACAATGAAAAACAAAAATCCAACAATGTGCTACTAATAAAATCCAATGACATATTTTCACTTAACCAAACAAAATACCACAATTGTCATATGTATTTTTAAGAAGAAAATATTTATTTATTTATTTATTTATTTATTTATTTATTTATTTATTTATTATTTATTTACTATCTTTTCTTTCGTTCTAAAGTGTTTCACAGATAAACGTTAGGCCACGCCCATTGAGCACCTGTTCCAGGAAGTTGTTGGAGTGTACAATATGTGCTCGATTTCAGCACTGGAGGGAATATATCTATGAATTAAGTTTCTATCTTTTGGTCTAAAATAAGCTTAAATCTGTTGAAGACTCAGGATGTTGTGATTCAGCAGTAGGTGAGTAGGTTACATGGCAGATGATTGTTTGAAATTCCTTCATAGTCTGAGTAGAATCAGTGCTCATCTAATCTGAGCGATAGTGACTTTTTTCTCCACAGGTCGTCTGTTTCGTGAACTGTAAAAACCAAGATTTAGTCAAATATAAAACAATGTTTTTTTATACGTTTTGAAAAAAAGATTTAACATAGTTTTGTGACTTTTACATAGTGCAATTTAGCTTTCATTGTACACATTTTTTTTTCATTAAGGGTCAGTTTAATATCCTTTAGTTTAAATTAATTAGTGTAAGTGTAATAGGGAGATGTTGGTTTTTAATAGAAAACCAACATCTCCCTAAAGACAATATAATTAATACCATTAAACTTGAATTAGATACAAAATGTAAATCGCTTTTTATAAAAATACATAGTATACCATTCAAATTAGATTAACTGAAATACGAATGGTAATAATCCCTGTATTCATTATAATTTTAACTACTGTAATCTAGTTCATGAAGAGGATAAGAAAAAGGAATCAGGTACATCTCAGTCATCCTGTAAAGACTTAAATGGTGCATATTTGATTTTAGTTTAAATTCAACATTAATGCTATGATACCAAGAACTTGTAATATTAAAATTTAATGTACAAAAAAAAAGATACTGACAAAATAGAAAAGAAAATGGGTCAGTAGCTGGGTGCTGTTGTGTCACAATCACTAACTCTACTTGTTTTGCAGGTTTTTCTGGTCTATGTGTGATGTCAGCCTGAAACTTCACTCATCATGTTATCTAAGAAGCACTGCCTGTCACACACGCTCCTCCTGCTGCTTGGTTGCTGGACAGCAGATGGAGCTCATAATGATTCAGAAGCAGGGTCCATCACAGAGTTGGCCCCAGTCACTTCTAGCAGGTACATCTTGGCAAAGGAAGGGTCCAGCACACTCATCGAGTGTAACGTGACTGAAGTTCAAGAGGACGTCCGGTGGTACAACTCTAAAGGACTTCTTCTTGGAAAAGAAGAAGGTAACAGGATTTTATTATTAGCCGTTTTTATTTGATAATTTACCTTTTAATTTGTCAAGAAATATCTAATCATCAGTGCATGACTTCTCATTTCCCTCTCATATTCTCATAGCACAATGCAAAGACTCACTGTTTTTAGCCACTCCAAAATGAGAAAGACAAAGGAACATCCCCTTCAAAAAGGGAAGATTTGTTCATTTGTTCATGTGGACCACAACATTGGTATTTACTTGTAGAATCGGTTTCCAAATCCCCCTACATCTTAATCTAAATTAAGATCTAGATTCAGATATACAAAAAAAGAATCACATCTATGGATGCAACTTGCAACTAACAGAACTTACAGGTTGCCGGTGCAAAGTACCAAAGCTCTCCAAATGAAGTTTGTATATTTATGTGGATACATAAATACAACTCTTAAATTCCATTAATAATGGTCTTAAAAAGTCTTAAATTTGAGACTGCCAAAGTATACAAAAACTCTGTACAGATTGCAGGTATTTAATTGTCTTTTATAATGTTAGGTGGGAAGTGGCAGATCCAGGAGAGGGGAGCCCTAAACATCAGTGCAGTGTCCTTTGAGGACCGTGGCAGCTACACCTGCGTAGCCTCAGCAGGCATCGGCCTCACCAGAAACTATACAGTCACTCTGCGTGTGGCGTACACCAACAGTGGCCTGGGGCTGTACTTTGTCATTGTGTGCTTGGTGGCTTTCGCCATCACAATGGTCCTCAATGTGGCACGCTTGTGCATGGTCAGTAGCCACCTCAAAGAGACAGAGAAGACCATCAATGAGTTCTTCTGCACTGAGGGCATCGAGAAGCTGCAGAAGGCATTTGACATTGCCAAAAACATTCCCATAGTCACGTCAGCGAAGACGGTGGAGTTCGCCAAGGTCACACAGTTTAAGACCATGGAGTTCGCCCGTCACATCGAGGAGTTGGCATGCAGCATTCCTCTTCCACCGCTCATTCTGAACTGCAGATCGTTTTCAGAGGAGAACATGAACCCAGAGAGTGATCATGGAAAGAGGAACAGGCAGGCCTTAGGACCACTGTGTCCTGACCAAATCGAAGAGGAAAATGTGTGTGAGGCAATGATGTTGAGTGAAAGACAAAGGAATGATGGAATCAGTGAAGACTTGAATGTGTCTCTGCATAAAGTAAAGGTTGACACTGAGGATGATGAGAGCAGTGCATGAACTCAGTGGGAATTCCAGCAAAGAACATTTTTACAGCCAGATAAGTTAGGTTTTTGTCTTTGAAGATTGCCTTTCATCTTGAATGTAGCAATTTATGTTTTATTTTTAATCACATTCTTATTTCTGCAGCTCAAGTTCTCAAACATAAGCTTAAATTAACTTTAGGCTTTTCCCCTTGCTTTCAGATATTATTTAACTTTCCACCAGATTTCCAATTTTTGTTTAATGTTTCAATCATTTCACTTATTCAAGGTTCCTTTATTCCTTTGACATGCTGGTCAGCCTTCACTGAGAAAATATTGCCTGGTAAAATCATTACCTCTCCACTTCCATTGTTGTCACATCACTCATAGGTAATTGGTTTTCTAGGACTTGACATGCAAGTCTTTGTGTACAAAGATTTGCATGTTTACACAAGTCTTTGTTTGCCTGAAAAACGTTTAATTGCAAAGCTTGAAATGAGGATTTTAAATAAAGCGTCAACAGTTTAAATGTAAACGTTAGACAGTAAGATGGAATATTTACCATGGAAAATGTCATATTTGGTCTGAAAATTTAATTAAATTATGTGATTATATGAGAAGAAGACTAATTTTCTAACGAAGTTGTTTTGTATGCACATGGGGATGTGTGAAAGGCAAATGTGTTACTCATTTGGATGCTAACCCTGGATGTTTGTCTCAACAGAAGTCGAAAGCAAAGATTTGTAAAATGTATAAATGTGATGATGTTGATAAAACTGTTCTGTTGCTTCTTTTTTATGTTGCTAAAGGATATCAAAATAAAACAAAGCAATGTGATCAATCTGTGAACTGGGATTGAACTAAAAAGGTTTTAGTAATGAATCTGGTTTGCTTTTTCCTCTTTCTACTTCACATTGATGGAGAACATCTGAATGGCATGAAAAACGCTGAAATCAGTCTAATTTGCAGACTGATTACTGTAAAAGTGAGGAAGATAAAATTAAAATTCTTATTTTGGTTTGCTGTGGTTACATGGAAGGAGAATCATGCAACTGTTATCAATTTGAATCATCGCCGTTTCAAAGCGTCTGGTAAGTAGACGAAAGAACAGTTTTATTCATAATTAAAAACTTCAAGCTTAGAAGTTTAGCTGCTGCAAACAAGGCCTTAGAATGTCCAATGCATATTGACACAAGCAGCTGAGCTTGCTCAATACTGACAGTGTTAATCTTGGTGACATAATGGGGGCAAAGTAACAAAAATGTCCTGCATAAGCAGATACTTTGAAAAATCTAGCAACAGCTTATTGATGATCTATCTGTAAGCTACTTGCATTTTAGAGGAGTGTGCCACAAGGCTGAAGTGATAAGAAAGTGAATCAAAGATTAAAACTTCACAAGACATTTGGTCAGACAACTCTTCTGATCTAAACCCCACTGATAGTCTGATCAGTTCTCCAAAGGTAGGTGCAAAAACAGAAGCCAAATAACTTGTAATTTACTCCATTAATGACATTAATTAGATCATAACGGCTGGAGATCAGTCAGGAATCAGGATTTGGTCCAGAAGTTGATATCCTAAGTGAGGGATAAGTGTCAACACTAAAGATGTTGATGCTTTGCATAAAATTCATGCAAAGCGTGTGTTATTCATGTGTTATTCACTTTTCTTTATAGCAATAATAATGCTAAATATTTTAAAACCATAGTAATTAATAGTAAGGAGGTCTGATCGGATGTGCAGTAGTATAAACAAACCACATGATGGCTCTGTTGGATAACACAATTTCATGTGAGCTGCGGCGCTCTAACAGCCTGACATGTTTTTGAGTCACATCTCAGTTTAGTAGTCAGTGAAAGTATCAACTACTGTTCAAATCCTGGGTGCACTTGAACATTGCAAAATGAGATATGAATTTACCAGTAAAACATTTCATGAAGCAATAAATTTCAAAATGTCCTGAAATGTCATGCAGGTTTTTAACTTTCAACTTTGTATGCGATAAAGTTGGAAGGTGCAAAAATTTGTGTGAAAAACACATTTTATGCCTGGGGCTTAAAAATATCCTAAACTATGCTAATGATTGCACGTTTGCAAGATCTAATTAGCACAATCATAGGGATTAAGTAAAAATTAATATTGGCCTCATACTATTTCCTTGTTTTGCGAAGAAAACGTGAAAGACAAAACCAAAGCAGAAGCAGAATATTTATGCAGTATGACTCCCTTCAGGTAAGGTAAGGTAAGTTTAGAGGAGCATTCCTTTGTATTTATTAGGAATATAATAATATTAGTCGTTTTCCTGAGTTGATGATTTTGTGTATTTATTCAGCTTCTTTTGTGCTTATTAGTCACCTTCCCTCAGTGTCCCTGGTCGGGTTCTATTTTTCTTCTTATTAGTCACACCTGGTTCTCATGTCACTCATCAATTCTCCAAGTAGTGATAAGCTTGTCAGTTTCCTCACCAGATTCTCCTGATTTTCACTGTCAAGTTTCCTCCATGCTAGCTTCTCTGTGCTCCAGTTGCTTTGCAGTTTCCAGTCAGTTGTTTTCTCAAGTCTCCTGTGCCAGAGCTTCAGTTGTTCTGGAAACTTGGGACACATGACACAACTTTCACTGTCATCACAGATGTAAGGACCAGGTCCTGGGTGTTTAGCTCCCATCCTCAAGGGCTGGTGTAGATATGTCTCGGCTCCAACACAGCTCACTGAAATGGTCCAAATATCCTCAGCACGTCTGCAGAGGTTCTGCTAATCAACCATCATCTGTTTGATCTGAAATGACTAAATCTTGCAGAATATCACCCCTTGAAAACTGACACTAACAGACTGGTAACGTAGGGCCCTCAGTATGCTGAATACAGGTTATATAATATTTGCTAAAATACTAGCTATGCTTCTGCATTAGCTCACTTCTGGTGTTTGCAGTAAGATGTCACTTTGTCTAAGTCTGTTGTGGAGAATTCCATCTCTACTATTTGTCACATTTAATCCACTTTTAAGAAAACATAATTTCTTATTATTTTGATTGACTAAGGAACAAAAACAGATGGACTATATTCCTAACAATCATCAAGAATGATCAAATGTTTATACTGGGCCAAAAACAAAGTGGTAATGCGAGGGGAAAAAAAAGTTTAATCTGCCTTTGTAATTAGATTTAGCAGAATTATAATTAGATTGACATAAACTGTATTTATTTGGTGCTGTATTGAACTCATCTTCCCTGTAAAATGCTCTGAGATTACTTCTGTTGTACAGGGAGACTAAATAAATAGAAGCGAATAAGGTTGCAGGCGCTTTATCGAGCTCTCCTTGCACTGGGCCTTTTCTGTTTCCAGTAGTATTTTTCCCAGAGGTTAATCTCCAGTAATACAGTTACTCAGTCTGCCCTACCTGTGAAAATATCAGGTTGGCCGGCATCCCAAATAACAATAACCTTGGGCCTGTGTGTTGAATAACTCTAAAAATCCATCCATCTTGTTTTTTTTTTTTTTTGTCCTCTCCAGAAGCGAGCATATCTAAACAGAATTGATTGGCGCGGGCGATCATTCATCATAGCGAGCCTGAGCAGGCGTTTAGAGGGAAGGGGAAGGAAGATTTTAGGGGAGGAATATTTCCGACGGGCTTCAGTGTCATTGAGGTAAACCAAATGAATCGATTGGGCTAAAAAGGATTGGTGCGGAGCGTGCAAGTCAGGGAAAGTTGTGGGAGAGAAAAATCTTCCCCTGCCTTGCTAAGGGCGTGTGACTGATTAAGGATGCTTGTAAAAACGAATGAAGTCTGCATGCTGCAAATTTGGGCCTCTTCAAATTAAATTGCTTATAAAATTAGGTTAGAATAAGACTGCTGCTAATTTGATTTCATTTGCAATCAACTGGAAGAAACAAGACAAGGGGAGAAGATGATGAGTCACATGAGACAATGAGAGAGGAGCACGTCGTTGAGGTCTGTAGGCCTCCATGCAGATGATTGAATCTGCTGTTCAGCCTGTTTGTATTAATGGCTCTTCTGTTCGTGGGCCTGATCTCAAACAAAGCTCACCTACCTGTCTCGTGAATGAAAAATAGATTTTTTTCTTTCTTTCTTATGATTAGTTGTTCATCATAGCAACTTCAAGAGGTTTTTCTTCCACAACCCACTAATGCATGTTGCAAACACTAATAAATCCTGTTCATGATATCTTGAACAGAATATCATGTTCAAGGCTGCAGCCAGGTTTCACAGCAGAAAGCTGCACTGCTTCCAAGAACAGCTTCATGGAACATTGGTTCGTACAGAGAACAATGACCTGTAATTAAATCTGAGGAAAGTGGTACTTCCAGCAGGAAGTTTTCAAATGACTTTCTTTTAATAAAATACAATGGAGATCCAACCAAGGAGTTTGGATATTTGTCCCAAACTGATATATTTTTTTCAGCTGTTGTTTTCAGAAAATCCTAAGGTTAAGCTGAAAGGTTAAGGTTGAACTAACATTGTCACTACATTGTTAGTGTGACCACTGTAAACTTCAGCCTCGGGTGATTGCTAATGCTTTCTTTTACTGTTGGAGAAAAAAAATTAGTTTCATATTAGAAATGGAATTAAGAATTTTACCCTTTTAAGTGACAAACAGGTTTCACAGTTTAATCCAATGTGATAATTAACCAGTTGCTGAATGGTTTAGGTCAAATCTTTGTTAAATGCTCTTATACAGCTCCTACAAAATAAAACCAGGTTAATGTTCTAGAGTTCTTCCTAAAACATGCGTTGGCTGCATTTTGAATTTTTGAAAAGAGCTATGCTTTTAAAAATGTGTGACTCTATTTCATCTTCAAGGAAACAGAAATATAACATAATAATTTCACTGATTGAAGTTTAAAACCATTAGCTCAAACAGCTATCTTAAACAGAAGTTTAAGATCAGAGAGTTCACTTCAAGAAGCACGTAAACTGGAACAGGAAATTGCCTCTATTAAGCTCTCCAGGTTTGTTCTTTATGCTCAGATCAGTTTGATGTCCTGGAACTGCAAACAGAGCGTGTTAGAGGCTGTAATTTCCTCCATTATGCAAGCCTTACCTGGACCATACTTAAGTGCCTTAAATTAGTGGCTCTAGGTTGGGAGAAATTGCCAAAGAGGCCCCTTACGTTCAACTCTGATTCTTCAAATAAGTCAAGTCAATTGTGAGGTTTTCTGTTTTGCCCTTTTATTCACTTTCTTCCACAGCTTCAGTGGAGGATGGCTGCAGTACTCGCCTAACTCGCCTGTTTTGCCATTCATTATTCATCCAATCTTAAAATCCACAGGCTTCACATCCGGCTTATTTCCAGGCAGCCAGCATCACAAGCTACTCGCTTGTCAGAATTATTCATATTTCAAGCTCATTTTACTTTCAGCTCTTTTTGAATATGAAGAGAAGTAGAAAGTCAAAAAACAGGGACTCCATGTGATGTTAAAAAAAAAAAAAAAACATCCCAAAGGAAGCGTTGTCAAAGTACATGGTGTGTCACCACCAGTGCTCTTCTTAAAGCATTGGAACGAACAGGTTGCCAAATGTTTTCACTCAGGAATGTCCAATTCTGCACATCAAGGCTGGTGTCCTTCATGTTTTTGATGTTTGCCTGGTTCAACAAACCTGAATCGAATGAGTCATAATCAAACTTCGGCAGAATCATATGGACTAGTGAGGGCTCCTCTCGCATTTGAATGGGCTGCGTTGGAGCAGGACACATCAAAAACGTGTAAGTTACCAGACACTTCAGGATTGTTAGTGGGAGGAGGTTCAACTTATCCAGGCTCACTAAAATATATCTAGCTAAACTAAACCTGACATCGCCATCATCAACATTTTTATGTCAACCCAAGTTTACTGATTCTGCATGTGGTCCTTGATGAAAAAACA